TGGACGGTTCAATGAGTATCAGAGCGGAAGTAAAAACTTTGTCTTCTTGGTGGAACCAGTATGCCAGTGGCATAGCGACCGGAGCCGATGGGAGTAGAAATAGCTCGTCCATTGTCTTCATATATCATGTTAGTTGTTACAATGGAAACCACGCCTGACAGACGAACCTGTAGGAGAGTCGCGTCAGAGTCTAAGTGAAGGACTCTGTCGTATTCTGTTTGATTGAAAGTGAGAAGCTTCGTGTAGCTCCTTGACCACGTTTCTGCGCCCACTTTTAGTTCGACGTTTTGCAGCAGTGACATCAAGCGACTTACCACCTCCCCCGCCCTTGTATATCACCTCCATTGGCTTGAGTTTAACCGCGTATTTATCTCTTGCAAAACGTAGTAAACGAGCTTCTGGTGAATCATCTTTCTCAGACACAAGAAAAATATATGGGTACATCAACACGAGATCAGCTTTGCTTCCAAGCCGATGGAGGGCCTCGAATATCATGACTGAGTTACACAAGTAAGATCTGTCCGTTGCGTACTGTGTGTATGCAAATCGTGACCAGTTTATCTGCTTCTCGGGCAGATGATCAAGTTGACTTTCTTGCAGAGAAATTGAGGCGCTTAGATGTCGCAATGATATCGCCAGCATGGCTAGCATTAGTATCGCTATCAACAGGGCGCGAACAGATTTAGAAGTATTGAGGTCATATTCTTGAATATCGTCGAAAAAATTGCAAAGCTTGTGATCTGATGGCTGTAATCTGTAGATTTGCGCCAGCTCGCAGCAGCTATAGGAATAGAAGTACGTATAGCGAAAGGTTCACTTGTCTAAAAGAGTATCTTTCACCAGAGATGATTCCACCCTCGGCTGTTCATACTAGCAGCCTTAGGGCAGCGCGAAATGTAAGACATTGCAGCGGGTAGCCATGAACTCCGAACTGGGCGGCTAAACGTCGGCCAGCCATATCTGACCCACGCTATAATAGTTTATGACCACAGCGACTAGTATTTTTGCTATAATCTCTTGAATGGCTGAAAGTAGTCCTGCTTTTAGTCTAGTGGTTAGCACTTCGACACTAAATTCGGCGGGTAATTTTGTCGTTGCCATCCCGAGGACCAATATATCTCACCAAGCATAATTCTTTCTGTAGGTAAAGCTGCAGACCTAACTTACTAGTACTTTCTCCTGCTATCACTTCCGTCAATCTGTATCCTTCAGATAATAAACATTATATTGTGGTATGGGAGAGTCGTTAAAGACATTCTTTATCATTGGGCTCTTCCTTGAAGAGGTGGAGAACGGGTTCAAACGTCCGGTCTCCTTCACTGCCGGGATGGTTCTGTCGCACTCCCACCCAGGGCGCTTGGCGTATCTCCGCAAGAATACCATTGGCGCTCGACAGGCGTCATTTGCTTTCGAGATGATTTGAGTCAAACACTTCTCACACATCCCACTGTGATTGATCCCACCTCACGTACATATTTCAGGGTTTGAAGCGCTGTACAGATCAATCGACCTCTAATATGCTGTCGATCTTCGTTGAATACAGTGACACTCCCAGCCTTCGAATATCGCGAAGCCATTGCTGCGAAAAGTCGCAGACTCTGGAGTGAGATCATTGGCCTTAGCCATAAGTAATCGTTCAGTGCCCCAAATGTCATCTTCCAAGATGTCATGGTGAAACAGACACGCTTTGTGCGTCATTTGGCATCCAGGTATGCAGTCAGTTTCGTTCCAAAATCAGAATGTGTCAGTAGCCCGGAGACAGAAGTATCAGAGTCGTCTGGTCTACCTTGGCCAATGTGGCTTGAAGCCTGGTACTACCCTCTTGGGAAAGCCCGACCAGCTTGCTGCATAGCTGATAGGACCAGGTACCGTCTGTCATTTGTAAAGACACATCACAGTCCTGATTCTTAACAAGATATCTTTCTTATCCTATGTGTTGCAGAGCAAAGTTCTAGCGTCGTTCCATGGTTGCCCAGACATGGGAATGGGAACGCTTGTCCATCACCAAGATTGGTCCCACCATCGCATAATTCACGATTGGAGACGCTGGTTCTTAGTGCACGACGGTAGTTATCCGGCTGTCCATACAGAAATGGCAAATAGGTCGGCAGTTTGGTTCAGTTCTTATGCGTGGAAACTGCTAAATTGTGGTTGACAGAGACGACGCCCTAAGCCTCGAGAGAACAAACCTCTGGTCGCTATAATGGGAAGTTTGGTCGGGAAGCTCAATGAAAGAAAATAGAAGTAATGACATATGTTGCAATCATGTCAGCTTCTAGGGCGACAAGAACACAGCAGGAACTGTTATTGCCTTTTAGTACCTGAGTGGGACGGTTCACAGTATTTACATCCTGCTGTACACCGCAGGGGTGACGCCCGGCCTTAAAAAAGCATCTTACGTTGCTGTTTCGTCCAAGCGCTTGTCCTATATCTGAGAGCAGAATTTTAAGGCTTGAATGGTGCGGATTTTCGCAGGATTGATCCTAGCACAGTCCTTTGAGGCAGCGTTTCCATCTCATGGTCCTGGTTTGTCCACGTCAGGGCCGCTCGTGCTGCTGGGGCTGCAAAATCAGTTCCGGGAAGCTTCTCCATTTCACATTATATGGTGTACAGAGTGTGGATATCCAATTATATCAATTGTTTACGGCGCTTACAAAGGAATAGAGTTCTGGTGTGTCGTGGTCTGTGCCCTCCTTATCTTCTTGTCTGCGCTAACTTTGGGTGGCTCGGCGCATCTTAATCCCTGCAATGTTCTCTGTGAAACGCGCTGACTCTACATAGTTCTGTTCTCTTCCCAAATACTACCACGAATTTTGTCTTTATACCTTCGCAGGAAATGGAAAGCGGAGAAAAAGGAACAGAGACGTGCACTTCAATATGATGAATGAAAGAAGCTTATCATTCCTAGTCTCCTTTCATTATTGAGCCTTGGACATGATATACATGCGCAGGGAAACATATATCAAGCCGCAATCAACGGCCTATAGCGATAAGAAGTTCAAAGCACGAGTGCAATCGGAGATCCACAACTAACAAAGTCTTATCTGATGGTAGAAGAAGTATTAACAAAAGTGTTATCTTTCGCGCCTCTGTCCTTGGACACCCCTCTTACAGTTTAGGAGATCATTTATCAGTTACCTCAGATATCATATATCTGACAACTCATTTGTGCTCATCAGACTGCAAAGGAGTTGTGGAAACAATCAACAATGATGTATCTCCCCACAGTAAGTAGTCTCAGACCTGTAGTATAGCGTTTAAACATGATACTGGGAATAAACCAAAGTAAACGACTAGGAATCCAAGCACCTAATTAGCTGCACGATGCCCTGACCTCAACGATTGCATAGCCGACATAAGTTGCTCTTCCTTGCATTGAGACTTTATGCCTCATGATCATGACGCAGAAAGAAGCGTCTTACGAGCGATCGATGTAGAAGGATGGAACTTCCCATCGCTGAAATAAATAGAAGCAAAATTCAGTCGGGATCATCAGCTGCCGGCCATGTGACCGGGAGAGATGAAATTCACTGGTAGTATTTCCCGGTCATTGTTTTCCCCTCAGCTTCCCGTAAACAAACGCGCTGCAACGGTTTCTCCTCCCAGAAATAGACAGCAATACAAGCGCAAGCGCAAGCACAAGGTCAAGCTCAGCATCTACATAGCTTTATCGAAGCATCGTTACCCAAACCGAACCCCTCGACTATCAGCGGAGGCACCGACAACAAATGGCCCCCGCACTAAAGGCGGGGCACTTCCAGACTCACGAGTCCCCCGCACCCGGCACCATCATCATCCGCGACTCTCTCTATGGCGACCACTCTATTACCGAGCCCATCCTGATCGACCTGCTCCAATCTCCCGATCTCCGTCGACTGATTGGAATCTGTCAACATGGTGTAACCGGACACCTCGGTCTCCTACCCAAGCAAGTCAAGATCACGCGCTTCGAACATTCCGTCGGGGCATTCCTGCTTGTCCGCATCGCCGGGGGAAGCGTCGAAGAACAAGTAACGGCTCTTCTACACGACATTAGCCACACCGTGCTCAGCCATGTGGTCGACTGGGCGCTGTCAAAACCAGGCGAGGAGAGTTACCACGAAGTCCATAAAGCACGCTATATCCGTACAACCCAGATTCCCAAGATCCTGACCAAGCATGGCGTTCCACAGACTGTCTTGGATGAAGAGCAGTACCCACTTGTTGAGATGGCGGCGCCACATCTCTGCGCTGACCGACTGGATTACGCCCTGCGGGATATGGTTGCGTTTGGTATACTCCAGCTGAGTGATGCGCACCGGGTCGTCGCAAGCTTGAAAGCGTTCCCTGATGCAGTTTCTCCGAATCGGATGCTTGTGCTCGGGGATCAGAAGGCTGCCCTAGACCTTGCGAGGGCGTATCTAGTTGCGGATCGGGAGGTGTGGTCTAACCCGACACATGTTGAGATGTACAGAGGAACTGGGCAGTTGATTGGGAATCTTGTTCACGAAGAACGGATTCACGAGAAGGTGCTGTGGAGCACGACGGATGATCAGTTCTGGCAGTTATTGAAGGATATCGCGGATCCGGAGGAATCGGAGATGCTAGAGAGATTTGAGACTGAAGGACTGGTTGAGGAGGATGGCTTGCGCCTACATAAAAATGCCAAGGTTCGTACTATTGACCCCGATGTGTATGTTTCTGGCACAGAAGCAGTTGCGCTGTCGGTGGTGGATCCGGACTGGGCTGCTGAGCGCGAGAGCTATATCCGGGGAAGAGAGGCTACACGAGAGGTGTAATTGTAACATTACAGCTGGTTTAATAAGGATAAGTAGATGAGAACGAATTTGCTATGAACAAGATAATCATTCTCGATACATCTACTTTCCATGACTCTATTTACAACTGCAACTATATCATATGTATTCCTGCCTCAGGCACATAACCCCGCTGGCTCTTATCAACCCACCAATTGCGGGCGTCCAAAGTATGACTCCCCCACGAACCCCTCCATTGCGTCCCCAACCTCCAAACTACTAACTTTCTCTAGCCTTCATTTCTTTCAAACCTCTTCTGTATCCACGCCCCTCTCATACACCCATTGTCTCCAATCCACCCCAAACAATGGCCACCGCATACACCCAAACCGACCTCCAGGGCGCCCTGCCCCTCATCGCGCGCGGCAAAGTGCGCGACCTGTACGAGATCGACGACAAAACCCTCCTCTTCATCGCGACCGACCGCATCTCCGCCTACGATGTGATTATGGGAAATGTACCCTACCCTATACCAGCTATATATACCCAAACCATTACTCCTCAATGCATATGAACCAATACTAATCATGATTCAAACAGGGCATCCCCAACAAAGGCATCCTCCTCACCCTCTGCACCCGCAAATGGTTCGAAGTGCTCACCACCGCCCTCCCCACCCTCCGCACGCACTTCCTGACCCTCGACCTGCCCCCACAAATCCCCGAGTCGCTGCGCCCGGTCCTCCAGAACCGCAGCATGCAGGTCCGCAAGCTCCGTATCCTGCCCATTGAGGCCATCGTGCGCGGTTACATCACCGGCTCCGCGTGGAAGGAGTACCAGACTCACGGCACGGTGCATGGTCTCCCCGTCAAGGCCGGGTTGAAGGAGAGTGAGGCGTTCCCCGATGGACCGATTTATACCCCGAGTACGAAGGCCGAGTTGGGTGAACATGATGAGAACATTCATCCAGATAAGGGTATACCCACCCCACATTCATTTACTATTGTTTGGTGGGAGAGATGAAGGCTAACTGTTGGTATAGCCGTTGAGATTATCGGAGAGAAATACGCCGCTATTGTCGCTTCTCTGTCTGTTCAGCTGTACAAGATCGCCCACGAGTATGCGCTTTCCCGCGGTGTCATCATCGCTGACACCAAGTTCGAGTTCGGTGTTGATGAGGAGACTGGTGAGGTGGTGCTTGCTGATGAGGTGTTGACGCCGGATTCGTCGCGGTTCTGGCCTAAGGATACCTATGAGATTGGCCGGGGACAGGCCAGTTTCGATAAGCAGTTCCTCCGCGATTGGTTGGTCAAGGAGGGGCTGAAGGGTAAGGAGGGTGTCCGGATGAGCGATGAGATCGCGGAGAAGACTAGTGAGAAGTACAAGGAGGCATGGGAGAAGATTACCGGTGGTAACTAAAATAATTATCAGTCCTGATATGGACTTTGTATGAATTTTTAAACAAAATGTCATGAAAAGGGAAAAGGTAGATTAGTTAGGCACTAGAAAGGTCATATTACTGTTTTTGTACAATCTAGATATGGTATCAAGTTAGTTACTACACTGCATCCGCACCTACGCCTCCCACTCATCCTTCAACCCCTTCAATCCCTTCGCCTTAGGCTCTCCTCCCTCTTTCACACTCTCCCTCTGACCCTGAACCTCCTTCTGACCTTTCCCCCCAACCTCACCCATCCACCCCGTCATCACCCCCTCATCAACCGGCAACGCATCCGCCCCACAAATCCTCCTCTCCTCCTCAATCTCCGCCTCACTCATGCCATTCGTCGCCCAAACCTTCTGAATCCTCAAATCATACGGCCCCTCCACCCGATCCGTCAACCCAATACCCACACTCTTAATCCGCTGCCGAATAATCGACGTCTGCGGCTCAACCACCATACCATGATTCGTGCGCACAAACGAGTTGAACGGCAACAGGATCGTCTCCCATCCCGTCCCCCCAGAGGTCGTAGCACTCGAACTACCACTACCCATGACGATACTGTCCGGCGGAACATCAGACAAAGCAGCGGGGATGCTACCATTAGGGTACAACCGGTCCGCTAGATCAGAGGTGTCCGCATCGGAGGTAGAGAAGGAAGGCTGCACGCGATGATGCCGCGTGTAGAGACGGTGTTGATGGATATCGGTCTCGACGATGGAATCGGTCTGGATGTTGACGGTGTACCGACGGCCGTCGGACTTTACTCTCAGTGCGAGGTAGGTGTACGGATCGACGTCCCAGAAGAGTCGGCCGAAGAGCCAGAAGCCACGGTCGTGGTTGCGGAAGGCGGCGTAGCCTATATTATAATTATCACGCATATTAGTCTGAGTAATCCTGAATAAAGGTGGAAGGATATGGAGGAGGGGGGTTATACCTGTCCGCTCAACCCGCCAGTTCTTGGGAAGCTTGGTCGAGATACTTCCATGGAAACGCGCATGTGCTGGACTGTTCGTGGCTGGGTCCGCAGGGACGTAGTCTAGACTGGCGGTGCTGTAACCTCCGACGACGCGGTCGGCCATGGTCTTGCAGCTGGCGACGGACGACTCATCTTCGAAGTCGAGGAGGACGTAGGGCTTGGTTGGGGTGTGGAGAGCTTCGTTGTTCCAGGCTGGAGGTTTTTTTTATCAATCAGTTTATCGGTCTCGATCTGTTAGTTTGGTTAGTGGAGATGGGGAGAAGCGCACCGATTCGGGAGAGACGGCCGAATTCCTCAACGCTGCGTTTGAGGAAGCCGGATGGCTTTGCAGCTAGGCAGCGGGCCGTGGGGAACATGTTGGCTTGGGTAGATAGAAACCAAGCCAATTGGGGGATGTTGGTGCAGGAGTAAAGGTGCCGCGGCGATGCGTCGAGGAGATTCTCGGACCTGCGCATGACGTCGGAATTTCGCTGGCCGTGCGGGCCTGAGGCAGAAGCTGTCCGGCTTGGTCGTCCGGTCTCGGTGGTTGGAGGGTCACCGCCTAGGGAGATATAAATGTGTCGGCTTCGGTGATTTATGGTAGCCTGGTGTACAAGAAGCTATGACTTGACGATGCAAATATGAAGGTAAGTATATAAGTGGTGTTTAGTTTGTTCTGTTGTTTTATTGTATGTCGCTAACTTTTGTTCATTTAGGGGACTCCTTTGAGAGCAGCTATTATTGCTAGGGCATGGCTTGCCAGTATATCCACTCTAAATAGGCCCTAGTCTATGAAATAGCCAGTGAATATAGCGGATATCTTTGACGCGGTGTTCTTGAGCAGCATGATTGCTGTTGGCCTACACATGACTAGTACTTACTTCTGTGTAGGCCAACAGCAATCCTTCCCATCAGCATAGATTCGCCAGTTGTCTGATTCTGCCAGCAGAATCTAATGCGGTGAGAATATCAGCTGTCATGATATGCGTGTATCCCACCAATCATATTGCGAGCGCATACATCGGTTGTTGGCCAATGATATTAAAGTACACCCTGAGTCAGACGACGAGATGGAAGCAATAGGTAATGGGTTTCGTTGGAATTGAACTAAACAGGAAATGTGTCTCTAGGAGCTTATAGAAGTCATCAGAGAGAGATGTATATTCTGGCTTTATTCTCGGCTTGTTTCCGAACAGGAATTCACCGTCAGTCAAACAGCCTGCTGCTCTCTTGATATGCTGGCATCTTCTGGTGTGTGGCGATCATCACGAAAGATTCCATTTTGCTATATTTGGCAGGCTACAAACATGTCCACGATCAAATAGCAAGACCAGAGCGTCAGGAAAGCTTATTGGCAGGTAGATATGCTCTCTATTCAAATACATTCATATCCTCAAGCCGTTTGACTTCACATCTGTTGAGGCCAAAGGATTCTACAATCTTGCATCAGTAGATTCTGTGCTTCTCAGATGGTCCATAACCTCGTCTCGACGTCACAGCCAGGAAGATGCCCATTTCCTACCGCTGCGAGGAAACGGCAATTTCCTCAGCCTTCTCTTTTCTCTTTCCTTCCTCACCACTCTCTCCATCCAACTTCCATCAAAATACCCCTTCTATTGCACTGGTTATTCCCCAGCAATCTATTCTCTGCTTGTTCTACAATAAGCCAGATCTACGCGCCTATTTATTTATCCTTAGCCCATATACTACCTAGATCATAGCCTCAAGGTGTAGTACAACAGTCGTCATGGCTGCGCCGTTCTTCGCCCCCCATCCCTCAACTCCCCAGCCTCAGTGGTTTCATCCATCCTCATCTTCTCCTGGACATCAGCCACAGTCACCTTGGATTACCAGAGGAAACGCCCAGTTAAGGCTCCCCACGAATGCCTGTGTGCATGTGGGAAAGTAAGAACAGCTCTTCATGACGCATACCTCATTTCTAGAATCCTAACGCTGTCTAGTCTCTCCAGCGGCGTCTGTCCGAATATCCTCCAGCACGAACTGGAGCAGCTCTTCTCCCAGTTTGGAGCGTGCTGGGCGCAGGTTCGCCAAGGAAGAACAGGTCTTTATAGCGGTTGGGTGCAGTTTACAGTAATCTACCCTTTGCACTAGCGACCGATTTGTATACTATTAAGTAAGATCAGAGCTAACCAACTTCGCTGACAGGATAGGTCCCACGCTCGAGCAGCTATCCGGCAGCACCAGAATATCTTCCTCAGAGAGCGTCCTCTGAGAGTAGAGGCTGCAAACGGCCTCAGTATGTCTTCCTTTCTGACTCTATATATACCATCGTGTCTGACAGTATCGCAGGAAACCGTGTAGAGTCGGTGGTGAATCACGATGAAAGGGCTGGGCTAAACACCTCGCCACTATATATGCCCTCCATGGCCATACCGCCCAGCCTGCCTGCCGCGTATGGGCCTCCTTTATTGTATAGCTGGTCGCCGGCTGTACCAGTACACGGTAGTCTTCACGTACCTCCTCCTGTCTCTGGTGCTTTACCTCCCGCACCATCGTACCCTACTCATCACACATTACCATCGCAAGCCCCCAACGCACATACACCACAATCACCTTCCTCCTCTTCTTCTTCGTCAAGCAACAATCTTGACACACAGCCCACGACACCCGGCTGTGATGAAGTAGTAGAATGCGAGGCCAATCAAGAACGGGAAGGCATCGAGACCAGCCGGTCCAATCTTCCCTGTGACATGCTACTATCCACCGGCCGCACAGTTAGGGACTACGTTAACGAAATGAAGAGGATACGAGGTATCGATCTCAATGAAGAGGCCACCCTTGAACTCATCCTGGAGGTGGAGGAAGAGGCACGGGATCAAGGTCTGTTGCCTGTGTTGACGTGCAAGCCAGACTGAGCGATATCAGTTAGGATGAAAACGAGAGGTTTCTTGTAAACACAAGCGCCTCTCTCTCTCTCTCTCTCTCTCTCTCTCTCTCTCTCTCTCTCTCTCTTACGTTCTCTTTTCTCCCCACCTTTTTCTTTCTGGAATATATAGACCGTTGGTGTTCTGAACATACTGGGCTGTCTTTAGTCATACCAGTAAAAAATGACCAAATACTCATCTCTGCAATCATTGTCTAACCCTGAGAAAGATATCACACATTGTCCTTCATCTAACTTATATGGTTTTATATTCATGTATGTAGACTCAAAAAAGCAAAAAACAATAATTGCTGACAAGTAGTACTAGTAAATGTACCATCAGAATAGTCTAATGTCAACAGCCTACTACCTGCCAAAATCCCCACACCCACTCCCCCAACCCAGTTCTGAACCTAAACAAACATCGTAATAAAACGCAAATGCATACTCTTCTATCCCGAACCCCAGCCCTAAACACCAACAACCGGAACACAAATGACCCCAAGATCATACACAGGAGAAGAACAGCAACTAGCCTCCTGTCCTACCTCTCTGCAAATAGCCACCAAATCCGCACCATTTGTTGGCTGTTTGGGAGCTATCAAGTAGAAGTTAGTACATTCAATAGACGAAGTCGAGAGAAAGTTCAGTTCTGAAGTATTTTTTCAAAGGCATGACCGATGTTAATAAGCAATCGAGAAAGCACTTACGAGCACCGCAGCTTGAAGAATCGAGACCCAGGACATCGGAAGCGCAGCACTGGGGGTGGTATCCCTCGGAGCAGATGGAGGATTGAGCGATGGCGAAGCTGGTAGAGGCTGTGAGGAAAAGGGAAACTGTTGTGATGAAGGATTTCATTTTGGTCTATAGTATGGATATAATAGTGGTAAAAATGACGAAGTGGTAGTGGTGGTGGTGGTGGTGGGTCGGAAGTAGTTGATGCAAGAAGCTGGAAGAAACAGACAGCAGATAGATGTTCTTAGCGTTGTTGCGTCTTGCAGAAGAAGTGGTAGATATTATGAACACGATGGATACTGGATAGTAGGGGGAGGGGAGAAGTTGCGGATCTAAAATACCCCCCGCTCCCCCTCCCCCTCCCTCTCTCTCTCTCTGAGTAATATGTCTCTAGAAGCCTGTTTTGGGGTTTGGGCTGTTGGGTGAGTAGTATTCCTTTTGCTGAAATTCAATCTATTGGAGGGACTATTGACGGGTCCCGGGATAACAGCATTGGGGTAGCTGACTTGCAGGGCAGGTAAAGAATTCAATCAGACCACAATTCGAAATAAGGTATGTCTCAATAGATAGCCGTTGGCTGGATGAGAGTGCATTTTTGTTGAATTGCTAGATAGAAATTACTACTGTGCATATGATCAAGATCACCAATTAGTTAATCAAGATAGACCTATTTCAAGTATTATCATCTGTGGAAAGTAAGTAAGTAACCTACTTACTATCAGATGATCACAGTTTACACATCATGTAAGGGGTTGTCCATCGCGCATGTCTTACTGCAATAGTTGCGGTGGACATTCTTGACGAAAACCTGCAATGTGGAAGGAACTAAGTCTCTAGTGAGGTCATGCGGGTTGACTTGAGGAATATGATATCTCCAGACTACTACTTTGCTCCCGACGAAATGCGGAGTAAATTATTCGCAGTATTGGGGTCAGAGATCTACCAAACTAAGTTCAATAACTCACTATGTTCTTTGAGAACCTGCATGAAGACTCAAATTAAATAAGCAATAACCAAATATTGCAATATTCTTGATCACACCGAAACAATTGTGTGTGAAAAGCGTTGCTACAAAGCACTAGAAAGACACCTGCCCAGTTCTGGGGATACAATGTATGTTGTCTTGTACAATCATGGAACCCTATCATCCATACAAACTCAAATCCCTACATCTCTACAAACACTCTATTCAAATTACGTCTATATAAATAAGAAGAACCAAGTTGATAGTAAGATTCTCAGCCATCTATCAAAACAGCCAGCACAACACTTCACCAAAAACTGACACAAACTAACTGCATAAGCCTCCTCCTAACCATCCCATCCTAGCCCTCATCGCCGATACAATGCATGTTCAAATCACCACCACCTCCTCCCAACTAAGAATCAGAAGACACCACTACACACAGGTTTCAGGTCCTCGCTAAATGTTGGGGTAGCACAGCATTTCGCGTCCTTTGATTGCTCAATGCAAAGGTCCATGAGATTAGGAATACTGGTTGGTGCTCGGCTGGCTATAGAGTAGTATACAGTCAGTCCAAAATATACCTTCAGAATATCATAACTTAAGTACAATTAGTACTTACGATCAGTGCAGAACGAAACACCGCCATTCATGTAATCATCCAGACAGCACTGAGGGCTAGTACCATCAGGACAGATGGATTGAGCAGCAGCGAGGCTGGAGGCAGCGACGAGGAGGACTGTCGTGATGAAGGTTTTCATTTTGGAAAGTAAATCTCGAGACACCGATAAGATAGTAAAATGGGGGAAAGACAGAGGAGGTGGTAATGATCAAAGCTATTAGAAGTAGAGTCCACTCATGAATGAGAACTAAAAAGGGTAAGTACTACTTACCAGCCGCTGGGGAGTCTTATATAGTAAACCTGGTTGGCGCAGGGGGGAAGGTCGTAAGTATGCATGTCTCTGGGGGTCTTTGGTTGGGATTCGTGAGCATTTTTTGTTTTGAACTCTATTTTAGAGATATGATAGTAATGAGTACTTTGTTTTACTATGACATATGTTTATTTTCTGATAATCCAGGCAAAGATACTACTTATTTTTTTTATGTATGATGAGACATCTGTGGAGTAGTGTATGAGTAACCTATAAACTAAAGGATTATGGGTGTGAATCTCCTTCAGAGAGTTTGTCCATGTGCCGCTTTCCGCTGAAAATACACATTCTTTGATGAGAGCCAGTAATGTGGTAACCTACGTAGCCTATCAAATCAATGACGTTAGGAGCATATCTCCGGACTAATACCCCAATAAGCATGTCTTACTGACTGTCGATGGAATGCGGAGTAACTAGTAGTGGCAGTTTTGATGACAGGGATCTACAAAGAAGGTGATAATATCATATGATATTGACAAGCTGCATGAAGATAAATCTACTACTTAGCAAGATGAAACCCTAGAAACTATACTTTGATCAACTCAGACTTAATACTTTCCCATACTACTGACCACTCAATTCTAATTGATCTTCTGCCCGACTGTAGAGCAAAAAAAAAAAAAAAAAAAAAAAAAAAAAAAAAAAAAAAAAAAAAATGAGAAGGAAAGTAAGTAAACCATCAAACAAATGTACCATGCCCTATGGAATTCCCCAAATCCAATTGAATTTACACTAATAATACACAACTCCAAACTACTTCAACCCGATCACAAACGAGTCTACAATATAAATTTCGAGACCAAGATCCTCGTAAAAGGTCTAACATAACAAGTAGTAGTAGACAGACGACTCATTTATATGCTTAAGTAGTAAATAAACACTCAACCTACACCAACATAACCTCCCCTCCCCAATAGTGCCATGCCATGCGATACACGCCCATCGCAACTCCAACCTCAATAAGTACCAATTAAGCATCATTCACCGGACTACAGATATCCTCCCAAGAAAGCATAGCATTGGAACAACACCGAGCCTTCTTCTGCTCTGCTTTACAAACGGAGTTGAACTCGGCAGTGCTTGTTGGGGTGGTGCTAACTATACAGACTATAGGCAGTCAGTCACATATGTATGATACTAATACAGCAAGCAGCCAACTTACGCCCTACACAGTCCGAAGGAAATAGGCCCGAGGCATCGACAGTGCAGCACTTAGGGGTGTTATTCTCAGGACAGAGGGATGAAGCGACAGCGAAGCTGGAGGCCGTGGCAATCAGAATGGGGATGGCGAAGGTCTTCATTTTGAGGTCGTGGTGATGGACTGAGAGGGAGAAGTGAAGAAAAAAGAAGTAGTGGTAGTATTTGTTAGGATGTTAGATCGACTGGTAAATAAATGAGATGATGAGTTGCAGGAGCAGATCGAGGAAATATGTAGGACTTGAATAACCTCCTTTTCGTTAATATTATGTCGCATGGAGCATACTATATAGCCCCCAGAGCTGAAAAAGGTCTTCGACGGGATAAATGGGCGTTTCTTGGGGAAGATCTGAACTTACTTTAGTAGTGTATTTAGATTAGTATACACTGGGGATGATCTTGACGACTAGCTCAGAGATACATACATGCATGAGTCAGCTACTTATTCAGTAACAAGTATTGATTGGTTAGCAGTATATTGATGTGAGACGATGAGAGATCTGTGCATTTACTGGCTACTGTATACAATTCTAAACAGACGCAGTACTAATGTGCTAACGAAGGAGGGCCAACATGTTCGATGTCTTCAGGAAAATATTTCCGAACTCATCTCCTAGTTAGTCTGTCCTGGACTGCGGCCGACAGCATGCGGAAAACCCAATCTCAGGATCTACAAAGCCAGTTTCCACTAGTTCCAATATTATCATATGGATTGACAACTGGCTGCACGAAGAACCCACAATCATGGATCATGATGGGTGACATTGTCCATTTGGGGAAATATTATTATCACTTGAAAAGCGTCCTACTGTAAAGCGTTACTACTAGAAAGCTAACTGCCGTTCTTGAGTCATTACTTTAGTAGTATGTTGGAATCAAGCCCAAGTAATCTCAAATGCCGCCCAAGAGATAGACAGTACATGCTTATGCGCAAAATCATGCCCTGATCGAAATATTCAAATGCAAGTTTCAAATACTGATGCCAATCGTAAATGCTATATAAGTAAGAGCCACCCAACCCACCAAAACGCCCGTCTCTATCTTATATACAACCCCCAGAGATGCCCTCGAAGAAAGTAACCAAAAGCAAAATCCCAAAAACGGCAATAACCAGTGCACCCTTGCTCGCCAACATCGATACCCGCGGTCAGAATGATGACAAATGAACGAAAGAAAATAACCAAAAGAGTGATGGAGGAAGGACGTAACAGATCCTATAGGTATAGCAACATGAGATTGACAATATATGCAAAAATGTGGGTATGGTATCGAGCAAAAAGGCAAGTACAGCACATGAAGACTCAAATCATGGAGAGAAAACAGTGAATTATATACGGGGTGAGTTGCGAATTGCCTAGGCTCTGACGCGTCGGGCGTCAAAGTATTTGAGGCTCACGGCAGTGTCGTTCATTCCGACAATTGGCGCAGCGTCCTCGAGAAGTTCCCAGGGGCGGACTGGATACGCGCCGAGAACGCGACCACGGTACTGCAACCGAAGGTGGCTGGCAATGCAATTGACACCTTCAGATAGCCCAGCGGGTAGGCCCGACGCTGAAGAGAGGCTCTGTGAATTAGGAGGCCCGCCAGCAAGATTGCCAGTGGGTGTTGGGGTTGAACCACCGGCCGCAGGAGATGGTAGAGACGCGGGCTGGGATGAGTTAAGCGTTGGTGCATCCATCACGGGCCCGAGAAGATAGAGGAACCGGGAATCGTTTTGGAACTGAAGAAAAGGAGGGCATTTCTCCTTGAGGAAACGGGCACATTGTTGTCGTGCTTCGTCCGGGAACGTATCAATCAGGGCTGCTGCAACGTCCAAAGCGTGGGTCTGTAGTAAAATCCCGGGACATGGGCGGTAGCTTTCCGACTGCACAGGATGAGGGAAATAATTCGCTGACGGGTAGAGGCGAATAACTCGGTCTGGGAGACGTGCGAGAGTGATGCAGAAGATAGAGACCAGCATGCGAGCTTGTTCTTGAAGACCGATTGGTTTAGGTGTTAGTGCCGCCGTATTAAATGCTGATCTGTGGATGACAACGAGTCTAAGCAGAGCTGAGAACCAAAATGCAAGGCTTCTTTCGAAGTTCGAGCGCGCCTGAGCTATCTGACACGACTCTGCGGGAGTAGACGGGTTTGGCTGCATGGTGATGAATTTCTGGAGAAGCAACTCCATTTTTTCCACCAACATTGGCGCAACAGATGGTACACCCGTTTCGGGAATGCTATATGCTAGCTTTTCAATAATTGCCAGATAAAGCCGAGCGGTTTCAATGGAGTTTGACTTGTCCGCCACTGTAGGATCGCCGATGGGCTCTTCCAGGATAGGAACAGAAAAGAAGCCCTTTTCAGCTCGCTCGCGGATCTAAAACGGTTAGCGAAGATGAAACAAGAGCGAAGGGTTGGCTATTCTCCTACCTGTCGCACCGCATCCTGATTCATCAGACTCACCAAACCGTACCAGTGGGAACGCTTTGAGCGAGCATCAGCCATCGCTGCCTTGAACATCACATCCACGATACCATTGTCGACTCCATTCCCAGCCTCTGCATTAAATAAGAGCTGGAGCTTCAACTGACAGATAGGGAGCGAGAAGTCATTGTTCATGCCAATGACTCTCTCCGCCTCAGACATAGCCTGGGGATCTGGCATGGTGTTAGCCTAGACCTAACAGGCAGGGAACTGCAAACAAACCTTGTGGATTGAAGCCGAGTAAAGCATCGAGAGCCTTTTGTAGGATCATTGTGGATGCCGGATCTTGGCCAACTAACTTTTGCGTACAACATTGTACCATGCGTTCTGGTTTCTGTGTGAGTAAGGTCTGGAGCAAAATCATGGCGCACTTCGTTAGGTCTGCCGCGTTCGCTTCACCCGCACTTTCTGTCTGCCTAGTACTAATCAGTGGCACAGCAGCACGGATGATATTGAGGCACTCTTCGGGATGCTTGTCAATGAACTCTTGTTGCGCTAGATAGTAGCGGTACGTGACCTAGACAGAAGGGTTAGACAAATGCAAGGCATGCTTCAGGACTAGCGGAAGGAAATGAGGGTGCGTAGCTAGAAGCAAAGCGATAATGCATACCATATCTGTGTAACGGCTCCCGCTCGGCTCTTGTGGAACTAGGAGTTCAAGAAGATCCAGCTGCAGATCCGTGACTTTGGGGACTACGGACGCTATCCTTTCAGATTGCAAAAGCTTCTTCACAAGCATCACGAATGCATGTATGGTAACGCAACCAACGCCGATAAGAGGAGGTAGGACACGGACCATTGCGAACCGAGAAGGTGACTTTAGAACACCACATACCCAGCGAACCAGCCTGGCATCGAATCGCTTAGGATGGAAAGATCTCAGATAAGCCAGGTACCTGCATATGTCATTCGCCGACAGTTTGACGTGACCATTCCCGTTCGCCAATGCCCCAGTCAATGAACTGAATATAGAGTCCATAGTGGATTCATCCATTCCCCCTCCGGAGAATAGGATCTGATCTAGCTTCTCCTGGAACGAAGAGTCGGCGTCATTGAAAGCCATGGAGAGATTGTCCGACAACGGAGATGGTGCAGCTAGGGCGGACTTGTTCTCAATACGAGACAAATCTTGACGCAGAAGAGCAACGGTGTTGAACTCGCTGGGCATCCGTAGCCCCAGCTCGATCAGTGAAAAGATGAGATCTAAACCGGGCGCTCCAAGCCTCTTGAGGCGAGCATAGGACTCAACAAGCCCTTTAAAGAGATCTGTCGCAGCACCAATAACACTCAAAGAGTCGAAATGATAATTGATGGTATCAGCAACGGAGGCCAGAACAATATTGTCATCGCAATTTGTCGCCTGCTTGAGCACGTCGGCAAGCATCGAGATATCTCCAAAGCTTTCCAGTACGTCGCGGATATTATAAAACTCGACAGGAGTGAGTGCAGAAACACCAGAGTCAGCAAGCATGGGTATATGTGCATATTTCCTAGCAGCTGTTAGGGCTTGGGCATACTTCAAGGGAGTGAAATCAGCGTACCTCACTGGATCACGACAGTGTCCAGATACCCCACGACGGATCCACAGGCCAATCTCGGATTTGACTGCCCATGTCAAACTTGACAATGGCTGGTCGGTCAACATTGCATCACTTGCCTGTGGTCCAAAGATCTTCGGAAGGCGTTGAGCGATAGACGCTTTGACAGTTTCAACAGTGGATTCCTCGTGTGAGGCAGTAATTCCGGCGCGACTCAACAGCGTGTTGCGGAGGTTACGGACATATTCTGGCAAACGAGCCAATGGAAGTTGTATAAGAAGGCGTACATCGTCCGAAATAGCCTACAATTCACTTGGTCAATATAATCGTCAACTAACGCTAGAAGAGGCATCTGACCTTATTTTGATCGGGTAAAGGATCGTTCGCTACCCCTTTCGCCATCAGCCACTGTAGGTACCTGCCCACAGAGAATGTCTGAGACCGGACAAGTTCGGCGATTATATGATAGACATTGTCCATATTGACGCGACTGGTGATCTGAGTGTCCGCAAGGAAAGCGAGAATATAAGATTCAACATCCATTCCCGACATCTTCCACTTCCGAAGCAGGCGAACACTCGTATACACGCGGCGGGACCCATGACGAAACGGAGTCGCTGCCCACTCAAGTAGCTTCGCGACCAGAGTAGCCTTGTCTTCCACGGCGTTCAAGCAGGCCGAGGACGTGGACAAAACATCGTGTGCAGACCGTATGGAATCAAACAAATGAATGACATGTTGCTGAGGCAATTGTTGACTCGTCCCTTGGTGGTTAGTGGGCAACTGAACTCGTACGTTACGCTCCGCAAGGTTCTGAAGTGTTGTCTTGTCAGGTAGTTCCTTCAGATTCAAGCATGAGGCGATCAAGTCCTTGTATTTATCCCAGGATGCCGGGAGGATAACGGAGGACGTGTGCTCGAGTACCAATCTCCTGATGCATCGAGATAAACGATCAACTAACGGTTCCAGGGCTGTAGGTTGTCCTGGCTGCTTAATCTGTTACGCCAATTAGCTATGGAATATAAGCATGTAATTGAGGAGCGCACCAAACGCAGCTTCTCCAGTAACACCTCAGCCAATCGTCGACCACGCTTCCGATAGCGCATAATATTGTTCCAATATATACCGAGCATTAAGAGCCACACAGGCACGGTGTTTAGTGGCGCAGCCTCTAAGGACACCAAGAACCAACTAAGATACTGGTCATGGTCAAGCAGTCGCTCGAAGAATAAACGCGATGTTAAGCTGACACTATGAAGGGTAAGTAAATATGTAACGGGAAAAGAAAGGTATGGCGTACGCATATGTCATCTTCATCTTCCAGTCTGAAGACCCGCAAGTGCCTATTACGCTTTCAAGGAATTGCTGGACAGTTGATGTCCAATCGCGGACCCATTTGGTCTCGAGGCCCAGAGCGAGCGTCCCGCTCGTGCCCTTTCGCTTGAAAGCACGGATTTCGTTAGCCCCGACACATCGGGCCAGCCATATAGCTCGCGGAACCGGGATTCCTTTGCCCAGACATTGATCGAGCAGCACCTTGCCTCGAATACCATGGGGGATAGTCCGGCTCAGTCTGCGCAACGGGACGGACGGATTGGCAAGATCCCGAAGCCAAGCTTCACGTTTGTTATCTGTCAAAGTGACGCGCGGGGGAGGTTTGAAGCTCGACGGAGTAGCGATCGTGCTATGGGATTGGCGCTTCTCGAGAGCAGCGGCGAAAACGGATGACAGCATCTGAAGACCCGATCGATGCTTCAACTGCGCGTACAGAGATGGACGGGCTGTATTAGACTCGTTCTGCGAGACCTGCGTACGATCGTAATGTCCTTGTTTTGCAGTATGGTCATTCAGCGTATCTTCCGGGTGGTTGCCCGTCCAAGGGGAAAAGTCCGCGACTCCTAAACCAAAGTTATGCAATTAGACGAGTTCTGACATACGGATTATCGCGCGGATCGACTTACTCTCCCCTTTCAGTTTTGGCGCAACAGGGGGTACGACAATACGATAGGGAGTTGTTTGCACTTCCTTTGTAGAGGCAACATCTGCTGGTTTTGCGCTATTGCTTCTGGAGGCTTCTTGCGGAGCGGGCTTCCAAGGAATGAGAGGTAAAGGTGGCGGCGATGCAGGGGTTTTCCCCTGAGAATTGGTATCATCTTCCTTCGCTTCCACAGATCCAGTCGTCTCCGAAATCAGAGCCTGGAACGACCACACTGGTCGACCGCGCCAGGCAAGCGGATTTGGTTTCGAACTTGCGGTCCCTGGGGTGCTTCTCGCTTCTCCACTTCCCGGAGCTGGACTTCCCTCAGGCGGGCATGATCCCGGAGGCGCATCTAGTTTGAGTCGTTTCGCAGGGGGCTCCCGGTCCTGAGAGTCGCTGGTATTCGCGGTAAGGTCGATGACTGCCGGCTGTCGGGGTAGCGGTTGCGGCATGGACATTGACAGCTTCTCCAGCTGCGGGTCGGACTGAACCAGAGCTTGGGAAGCATCAACACGTCCTGAGCCGTTATTGAGGGCGCGCAGGGAACGGCCCCATGGCTGGACGCCGGCGGAAGAATGAGGTATCATGTCAGCTTCATGGTGTATCCAAGCGTCGGGATCTGATCATTGGCACCGCGCCGTCACGACGGCTACACGACTATCCTGAGGGATGGTCACCGGACGCTTGTGATGTGGATTGGTGATGCGCCTGATAGAACCAGGACCGGTATACTACACATTCGATCCTTTCAAATTGACTCTGGTGCGGTTAAGAGAATCGAGGAGCTGGGTGGAGCGGCTATGGGGTGGAGGAGACGGAGGTTAAACCCCGGTAACCGTCGCGGAACTGAGAGTTTCGAGGGGGCAAGGCGGAAAAGGTCAATGGATCCGATGGCGGAAGAGATGGAAGCGAAGATGCCCAGCGGAAGGGGAATAGTATAGGGAGGAAGTCAGATAGAAGACCAAGAAGGAAGAAAGAAGAAGTAAAGTAGAAGAGAAGGAGAGATAGACCAGGAAAAAGCCGAAGACGGTGGCCGAAGAGAGCGAATCTGGAGATAACGTAAGGAGGACCAACTGGCACCTGTATGACCGACCTACCTAAGAAGGAAGTCGCAGTAGCCCGAGAGGGGGGCAAGGATTACCGGCTCGAGACGGTAAATTATCCGGCTGACGGCTGCCAGTCCGCGTGGTGCAATACCGCTGTAATACCGGCTATGGGGGAGGGGGGGGATCCGTATTTGCATTTGATGGATCCTCTTGAATTGATGATCGGAGCCAGCTTATCCATAGGCTAATCCGAGGGCTGATAACTAAACTAGTAGTAAGTATGTACTCCGTAGTTATCCCTGATGGTTGGGGCTAATAATACCCACAGAATACCTACATTGTACATAATCTAGTAGTAGTCAAGGCCCGGAGTATCTACGGTGTTCCTGCTGCTGAATATCTAGACTGAAACCAAACTAATTCCTGACTTACTATATATATTCTTTTTTTTTTTTTTTATTTCTGTACATCTTGCCTGATCTACCCGACTTTCCCCCAGGCTTCCCTCTCCGCATTCAGCAACTGACGCCGACTGACTCAATCCATGAAGAATTTACTCACTAACCAGAAGATGGTTTGGTCTGTCGGATGGCCTAGTCCACCGCAAGTGATCACGCTATTCGGTAAATCTATCAACCAATCCTGAATCGATCATCTTGGCATCAGATGATGGGGGTCCCCTTCATTCGGATGATTCTGAACCTGCAACTCGACGCGATTACCTGATGATATCGCGGCATATCGCCCCATTCTTCCGCCAGTGGCTAGCAGGCTAGGATCGGATGAAAAATGGAAATCCCCAGGAGCCACTTGAATCAAGAGATAGGGACCATGGCGAGGCGACTCTCCGTGCCTAACCCAACCACAGCCATCTTAACTCCGCAGATCGGCCCGTTTTAAGGGCGATCCCTGCTCGACGGACAGTACTTTGGGATTGAATACCAACTTGTTTGCGTCGCCTTACAGTAGTGACCCTCCCGGGGATTAATCTGTGGATGCGCAATCTGTGCGGCGTTGGCAAGGTAATAGAATCTTGTCATGTTCCATCAACTCTACCTGTAGCACACACAAGGTGATACGTGTGCGATCTCCCTGGAGAAGGAGGGGCGAGGGGATATTAATTTTCCCTGACTGTCACAATCGAAGAAACATACGGTGAACAATTTTCAACCATCCGATTCAGTATCCCGACTAAAACCAACCCTGGATGGGGACTATTCAAACTTTGCCCGAAGCACACTTCCGTCTCTTCCTTCTCCAAGACATTTCTTCCCCCTAGTTTTTTGCCTTGAACCCACTCTCCATCACCCTGTGGGCCGTTGAATCAAGGGGATCCCATTCTCTCGGATTCCTCCAGTCTTCTCCTGCCTAAGCGCCCCGAGCCCCGTCGGGAAGATCCATTGCCGAAGGATGTTAGACATGTGTCATGATATTATTCTTCTTGACCATCCCCGTCGCTGCCATCTGCCATCTGCCATCTTCAAACGTCCGGCTGTGGAATGCACCCCCTCCACAGTGGCATGACACTGCGTGGGAGACTGTAAGGACCGTATGACTATGCCGTCTGATTCCAAGCTTCTCCGCAGCTTAAGTGGCACATCGCTGTAGATCTTCCATGACCTTTTAGCCTGTAGATGGATAGATATAGTGTTTTGATTGCCTTCAGGTCGCCACAATTCCTCCGGTCCTTTACGCACTAAAGCACCTACGTCTGCCCTGTGCTACTGGGTATCTACTCAGCAGAGATCTCCTGTTTTAAATACGGGGAACAGGGATCCATGTGCTGAACGCACTGGATCATCCCGGAAACTCCTAGCGCACAGACTGGCGCATCACGGGCTGGTACCAGATAGTGGCCACGGAGCAGCCTTTCAGTAACACCCATCCTAGCCGCAGGATGCAGTGCAACCCTGGCTGTCCCAGCTCGCAAATGGCCACGGTGAGATGAGCGGATAGGTACACAAGCATGGTCCGGATCAAAATCGGGGTTTGCGAAAGGGGCTGCTCGGTTCTGGACAGTCACGGAATGGGTCCTCCGTCGGAAGCCCAGCCCAACGCCCCTTTATGCACTTGAGATAATTAATTGAAAAACAAATAATTATACGCCTTGTTCTTGGACTAGATAGACCGGTCGTGAGACTCTCCATCTTCTTATCATTTGGTGTATTCTTTCCAGAAAGCACTGTGCATGCGTGTGTATCTCTGCACCGCCCGCCCGGTCAGAAGTGGGAGGGCGGTGGTGTTTACGACACCTGAGCTGATCTTGATTCCAATCGCCGACCGTATCACTGTTGATCGCCCCTATCGCTTAAAGTTAGTTGATCAGAAGTACAGAACGGGCTGACCTGGTGTCTGATACGGCTCAACCCGAAGATGGGTGATCTCCGAAGGGATCTCTGTCTGGTCCCTCATCTCTACAGCTGTCCTCCGAAGGGACGGACTAAGTACGCTACCTAATCGTAAAGGTGCCCGGCTTCGAAGCTAAGCAGTCACGCTTCTTGAGTATGTTTGCTCGATATCATCCGCTAGTCAAATAATCAATATACTACGTAGCATTCGTTAAGAGATAGCTAAAAACTAGCTCTGATTGCGATCGTCTTTCGGTTGCCAATGCATTCGCGAACTCATAATGGGATAATCTAATGGGACAACTTATCATCCGGGGGAGATAAACCTCGGATCCGGGCAGCCTTTCCGCTTTGGTCTTGGCGTCACGCATCGCTTGGTTTGCCTGTTCGCCTGTCTCTCAACCTGAACGAAGGTACCTCTTTCACGGCCTGTGCAGTAGCCTCGGAGTATCAAGCGACAAGATGGCATCTAAGAAGGATATGCGGAGGTTGGACCTCGGTAAGTACTACGTCCTACTATCGAAATATTCAGCTTCCGATTTTGAGCGTGTGTTCGCTGACGTCGACGCCGACTACTAGCCATCCCCTACATCGACCCTCCCAAGAGCAAGGATGAGGCCGACATGTCTAGTATGTGACGAATGGATGATGAATTACATTGTGGATGGGATAGCAAGGACAATGTGCTGATTGCCCCGGTTCAGGCGCCATGTCCAGCACCATGCCTATGGCTGCGGTAAGTCGCGAACCCCGATCTGAAGATATCGCGCCAGTTCAAGCTTCAGACGCGCTAACACTCACGGCAGATGTTCACCAGGAATAGGTGAGCGCAAGATCTATCGCCTCTATTGGCTGTGTGGGTATATTCTAACAAAGCTCGCGCGCGCAGAATGATCGGATGGTAGGTCACCAGTGTCTCAACGTTTCAACAGCTGGCTAATTTGGTCCAACCCAGGGTCTCCTTCGTTTTCTCGCTTCAGTCCTGGCTCGGTGAGACTCCAGACCAGAAGAGAACTGCTTCGACTCCGGCCTACATGTCCGTCTTGATGTCCTGTACGTGTACACATTCCGCCCCTGCTACAAGGGACTTGTGAACTAACTGCTGCATGCGCTTATAGTGATGGCTTTGGTGGTTGTATGTTGCCAGAAAATCCCAACGAACGATAGAATCCTCTCTAATGTGCTTTCTATAGACCTACTTCCCCATCTTCCTGCCTCCCCAGAATGCGCGCGCTGCGCCGGGCGCTACTGCTTCCACCACCCCTTCCCCTTAAGCGACAACCGTTTCTGTGATACCATTGCCGACGAGTTTCGATACACTATAATACCACGAAGTTTTTCAGTTCGCATTAAAAAGGGAAGATTCGAAAAGTTGGGTTTGACGGTAGTAGAACGAGGAAGGACATGAACAGTCCAGAGCCCTTCGGCCACCTGTCATTTACTTTTCTGTACAGGGCGAGATTGTGATGCTGTATGAACATCCTAATACCTCAATTGCCATAATATTATCATTATCTCTCTAGAGAGGCCTGAACATAGTTTGATTACCAAAGTGACTGTGGCGAGCGAAATGCCGTACTAGCCGTCCACAACACATTTCAGGGGTCCTGTATCTCAGGCTTCGGTGCACGTGTGTGGCATGAGCTTGGCATGACGGATTTGCCATGTAAATCATATGCTAGACAGCAATAGACAAGCTCAACACTGCGTAGAACCTACGTATGTATGAGGGGAGGCCGGGGAAAACGGAAGGAGGGAGAGGAGAGAGTCCTTGGCGGTTGCCACCAATGTCCAATCAGCGCCCCGATTTGGAAACCCAATTATAACATTTGTCTAGAAGCGCGACGCCTCTTCAGCCCGCCAAAAAGCTAAAGGGTAGCAATCAGAATGAACCTTGAACCTAAGAGACGGGCCAGTCATGGATGGAACGTACCAGATCACCGCGCTGGAAGGGGGGAAAGAGGGCTTAGTCACGGGCACACCGCCTTCCCCCACAAGGGCGCTAAGGCAACGCCGCGCCCCTCAAAAGGCTCTTCTGTTCTTCTTCCTGTTTCCTTCCCGACCACCACCTCATCCACTTTTGAACCTCCAACTCCAAGTCTCCCAAGACTCTACGATCACTTCGATTTCCACAGAGATCTAATTCTCTCCCCTCGCTCACTTCCTATACACCGCTTTTAAGGGCCGTTTACGACGAAAGGCCGAGTTTATGTCCATCGAAAACCTTAAGACCTTCGGTGAGTCGCTTCGCCACCTCTCCTCCCCCTTCTGTGGACATCGTCCCCAGGCGCCCGCAGCACTGCCCGCAGCAGATGTTGGTCTTCATCGCGATGGTCTTTTGTAAAGACCATTGTGAAGTAGACTGTGTCTGCTAAGGCTTGGCTGTGTAGCCAGGGTTGTCCTTTTTGTCCAACTGCGTCACAAGTTGGCGGGGTAATATTTGGTCATGAGAGCCTGAGGCTGACACGTGCTCTTCCACAGACCCCTTCGCCGAAGCTGACGAAGACACCGGCGAGACTAAACAGTCTCAAAATTACATCCATATACGGATTCAACGTACGTTCTATTATTGTCCCTCCCACGTGGTGCCTTCACCCCTGTCATCGTCGCTGGTGGCGCCACGCTATCTCACTATCCACCTATGACTAACATGTATTTGTTCACAGAGCGCAATGGTCGTAAGACCTTGACTACCGTCCAGGGTCTTCCTAAGAAGTTCGATCAGAAGAAGATCTTGAAGGTCATCAAGAAGAAGTTCGGTATGTTGTCGCCTACTGCCTACGTACATCGCCATGTCACTAACATACCCTTCCAGCCTGCAATGGCACCATCGTCAACGACACTGAGATGGGAGAGGTGATTCAGCTGCAGGGAGATCAGCGTAAAGATGTTCAGGAGTTCTTGACCGACAAGAAGGAGGGTCTCGAGCTGGACGCCAAGACCATCAAGGTCCACGGTTTCTAAGCCAGACGCCACGCCCCCGTTCCGGTCCCTTCTTCCCAGTCTACGTTTCCCTCAGAGCGGTGCGGCAGGGGACAGTATGTGTCCACCTGCCCTCCTTCTGATGTGGCATTGCGATCCCCGCCACTGCCACGAGGGTTGTTCGGTCTAATATATTGTCTGTTGCTACTACCGCTCTTTGCCCGGAATACTGGACTTGGGCCTTTTGTCGAATTGATGCACTATCAAGTTGGTCATCTTTCCATTCGCGACTAGGCAATGGAAAGGGGCCCAGTGGGTCTGGCTTCCCTGACTCGACTGCTACATCTGGAATGGGATAATGACGGAACAAGGCGTTGGTAGATACCCAATATCTTCATAGATGATTTACTTCTTCTGTTTTCTACTTCTTCTGTGTCGTGTCTTTTGCTTGGCTTCGTGTGGCCACCAGTACGTGAAAGGACAAATATCGGCCTGCTTTGTTGCAAGGGTTGATTAAAGGATGGGGAGGCTTGGTCTCGATCACTCGTTATTCTTTAAATGTTCTAATCCTTGGTGTGTTACATTAACGCCTTCAACTGTCATTGCCGTATCCTTGCTCGAGAATGAACTTTCATTCCTGGCGGAATGGTTTTGGTGAAATACTCTTTTTTCCTGCTTCTCATCTTTCCTCTTACTCTAATCTTTGTAGTTGTCGTAGTTTTAAGCACTTTACGAACGATTCTTCTAGGAATGGGAGTACACGGTTGCGGTGTCGTAGATTTAAGCTACTTATGAATGTTGTTTTTGCGCAAGAGGGTACACAATTGGAATGATAGCTAGTCTATGGAAGCAGGCATTGCGCCGCAGTACATCTGTCGATAAAACTTAATCCCTTCTAGCTTACAATTCCCCAAGTGAAGCCCGCCCATCCGACACTCGCATACGAAGGAAGATAGCCACAGCCCAATCCCAAAGCTTGCGAGTGATGACGAAGACGGGCACCTCGGGCTCATTCTCACGCGTCAGGTGCAACTGAAGGAGAAGCGATGACATGCTGACGAAACTGGCCACAGCCACGACGAGAAGTGCAGCTGCGGTTTCACGCTTGATTGTCGCGTGGTTCTGGGTAGCATGATAAAGGAAGGTAAGGGTCTGATTGGGAAGAAAGGGGGGAGGAGTTAGTTTGACACATTCCGATTATCGAGGGGAATCTATGCAACGAGGGTTGAGTTCAGGAAGCTTACAGTGGTAATGGATATCCAGGCGGGTAAAAGACAACGGGGGTCGGACGAAGCTCCGGAGAGGTAGAGGACCCAAGAAGTGATATAAGCAATCAAACCGTTTGTAGTAAGGAGACGAATAACAACAGCTGGTGGGGTATAGTTCAAAAGCCTGGGGAGGTTAGCGGTAAATCACATGAAGGTCAGGATCCGAGGATGCATACCATCGAGACATCATACAATCAGCAAAAAAATAGGAAAGATACGCGGATGCACTGCACTGTAATCATAGTTAGACCTATGCTCCCAATATACAATGCTCAGAGAAGAGAGAGGAGCCTATGCTCCCAATATACAATGCTCAGAGAAGAGAGAGGAGAGAAGAGATAACCACATACCCACATAATAGCCAAGGCCACCTCTGTTACCCGGAATCGTCTTTCAACATCCCAGTCTTGGCTGACACTCCCGACAATCGCCGCCGCCCATCCCTCATGTCCTATGCCTGGTCGAATATGCAGCAGTTCGGCCAGGAAGGTGAAAGCACACCGGAGCCCCCACCACGCGGCGGGCACGGTGCTCAGCGCGCGACAGATCAGTAATGGCAAATACCATTTCCGATCAACTCCTAGAATGACGGCCACTCGGGGATGAAGGGCAGAAGGGACCGAATGACCAGCATCGTTGATACTAGGAGTGGGGGAGGTGGAGGAGGCCGGGGAGGGCGGAACGACGGTCGAGGGGGCGGAGGAGGGGGCCACGGCTTTATCGTTGGAATCCACTTTTGAGAGTATGGAAGCCAGAGTAGTATAGAAGGGTGAGTTGGGGGTCGTGGGAATGGAATCCGACAGCGAAGCAATCAAGTCAGGTTCAGGAGAAGACGACCGGGCATGAGACGTTGAGAAGGATGGAGAAGCAGCATCACGATAAGGAGGAGCCAGCCTTAATACCCCGGCATATGCGGCCGTCACGCAGATATTACCCGAATAAGCGGCAGGCAGATCCGACGAGAAAGAGTTGGTGGTAGTGGTAGGTCCAGAGCTAAATTGTCTCTGATCGGACCCCTAAGCGGTATAGTAGATTGTTTGGTGCACGGCGAAACTCCACGAAACAATCAGGTAGGCGGTGCTATGTCCGCGGCGGTCGGTAATGCTTGGGAAACGCAACGGAGGGCAAGTCCGAATCAATGAGCACACGCTCCTCCTGTCGTTCGAGGGAGAAGGCCGAGAAATGACGCTGGGGGAGATGCACGACAGGCGGGAAAGTGCATGGGAAGACTTCAATCAAAGTGAAGCCAAATCAGCCAAAAGGCGAGTCTCGCGGCGGAGAACCACCCGCCACGTGACCCCGGGGCCGCTCGGCGGAATTTCTTTGGCTTCGTTTTCGCGCTTCATCCTCTTGCGTCCAGCTCTCCCCCGGCCTCTGCGTCTTGCTCTGTCCCGTCTGTCGAGGTTTTTTCCTCTGGCCGCTACTCTCGTCATGGCGTCCTCGCTGTCCAAGGGCCCCGTTTTCTCGGCCATTCGATCCAGCAACGCTCCCTTCTCTGCCTTCCACTCCGGTCCGGCCATTGCTACACCATGCCAACGCCGATACCTTTCCCAATCCTCTCAGCGCAGTGCTGGCCTCCGCGGCATGCCTCAGAATATCTCCATGCCATCGCCCGCTCAACCTAGTATGCGAACTCGGGGTAGGGGTATGCCTAGGACGGATCTTCCCCAGGATATCGGACTTTTGCCGGGCACCTTCATCCGGCCGCTTTGGAGGGACATGCCCTCTATCTTCCAGCAACCCAACGAGCGTTTACATATGGAATGGCTGTGGATCAAGTCGGCTTTTCAGAACTTCATTGGGTGAGTCCCTGTCCCTTCAGGACCGCCGCTCAATGGCTGCCAACGTCCGAGCTGCTAACAATATACCAGCATCCTCGCCTACTGCAAATGGCTCAACAAGGGCCTTGCACTTAGACTGAGAGAGCGTCGACAAATTGCTGCCGAATACCACCAGAAGATGTACACTGCATTTGCCGCGTAAGTGTTCAGTCCACTCGTCCCACGACATCATCTTCTCCGTACAACTCATTAACAATCCTCGCGAAACATAGCGGCGATACTTCTACCCTGCGCAAGGTGTGTTGCACCGGCCTTGCCAACCAGCTGAGCACCCGTATCGCTGCTCGTCCCAAGGGCGAGCGTGTCACTTGGAACCTGGACAGTTACATTCGCTCCCCGGGCACCTACTTCACCGGTGTTCGCGTTATGTCGGATCGTGCGACTCAGATCCCCGAAATCCCCAACTCCGGAGTTCGCCAGGTCGTCCTGCGCATCACCAGCCGTCAGTCGAAGGGCACGACCAAGGCGTCTCCCAACGGTGCCCCCGCCGACAGCACCGCCGTGGCCAACAACACCAAGCAGCAGGACTGCACCGAATACCTCGTCATCCAGCAGTTCCGCTGGGCCGGTGAGGAAGACCAATGGCGCGTCTGGGGTCACGCTACCCCCACGACCGTGGAAGACCTGGAGAGTCCCTTCTTCGCCCGTGGCATGAGCCTGGCGGACCGCATGGAGGCCATGAAGGAGACGATGACTGGAAAGAAATAAGCCAGTTAACATCCGATCCTGAAACTCAACCCACCATTTGTAACAAGACCTGAGTGCAACCCACGCCTCCTCTCCACTTAGGGGCCACTCCTTGAACCAGCAAACAAGGGCCGTGTGTGGTTTGCAAGGCCCGCATTGCATTGTATTGATACGCAGTGACGAAGCACAGCATAAAAGTGTGTTCATCTGTTAGCTTGGTATCTGCTACTATTACTACTTACTACTACACATCATCTCCCCCTCCCCTCCCCTCCCCCCAATCCTCTTGCATCTGCCGTTGGCTGCGGAATCATGTTACTGCTTCGCATCCAATTCGATTCTTACCATGTGTTATTGAGAACTACCCGATACCATGCAGTCGATTGATCCTTGCGCGCTTTTGTGTTCGTCGTTTGTTCCTTGTCTTTGACGACAGACGGACTATATCTGGGCTCATAGCATATCATTCTCGCTGCAATTCTGTACTATATCTGATTGGCTATTATCTCACCAATTTGAGTCTTGTAATTATTTACACTTCAATGACTACCTCTTGGGGCTTACAGTAGGGGTTTTAGTGGTTTTAGGAGATGATTACTTGGGTACTGTTTCGTATCCTGGTATCGAAGGGCATCGAAAAACCAATAATCACAGCGGCCTACCCATCCCAAGGGAAATACTATGTACACGTTGTAGTAATAGCAGGGATTGGCAAGGACAATGAAAATAAATGAACAACAAGAATGGAGGCGGTTAGATCGTAGCAAAATGGGAAACGTGGTATTCGCGTAAAATTAAGGGAAGCAACAAGAACTGCGAGGTTGGGGTTCGTTCAGTAACTTGCGGGTCAATGGGCAGAGACGATGGATCTAGTCGTCGTCGAAGATTTGGAAAGTGTTGACTAGGATAGTCTCAATGACTCGGACCTGCCAGCCGGCATCTGCAATGTTGCCGCCAGAATTGGCACCCATGAGGGTAGGTCTGGGGATTGTTAGTCGGCAAGATAGAGGGGTAAAGACTGTCACGACTTACCCGAAACAGATGGCAATATTTCCTGCGTTCATCCGATTTTGTGTGTAATGTTCTTGAATCTTGTTGAGATGCTGCAATGTGTTATTTCATAGGTCTTCAATAAGGGCAGGGTTGGGTTAGTAGACATACCAGTATCAAAGCCCTCAACGTAGCGTAATGAGCATCCGGAAGGTTGTTAACTAGCGCATGGAGTGAATCACGGCGCTGAATGTCA